AGCAAAAAACACCCAACTGTAAAAAGAAAAAGAAAAAAGGATCCAAAAATATGAAGATAGTGTAAGGAGCCTCTGAGACAACTTCAAAAGTACCAACATTTTGGGGGTGCCAGAAGAAGAGAGAGAGCAAGATATTGAAAACATATTTGAAAAAATAGTGACAGAAAACTTTTTTCACCTACCTGGTGAAACAAATAGACTTACAAGTCCAGGAAGTGCAGAGAATCCCAGACAAAAGGAACCCAAAGAGGCCCACACCAAGCCACATCATAATTAAAATGGCAAGGGTTAAAGAGAAAGAGAGAATCTTAAAAGCAGCAAGAAAAAAGCAGTTAGTTACCTACAAGGGAGCTCCCATGAGACTGTCAGCTGATTTCTCAACAGAAACTTTTCAGGCCAGAGGGAGTGGCAAGAAATATTCAAAGTGATGAATAGCAAGATGTTACAACCAAAATTCCTCTACCCAGAAAAGCGATAATTTAGAATTGATGGTCAGATAAAGAGCTTCACAGATAAGAAAAAGCTAAAGGAGTTTATCAACACCAAACCAGTATTATATGAAATGCTGAAGGAAGGTCTTTAAGAAGAGGAAGAAGAAGAAAAAGGTAAAGATAAAAATTATGAACAACAAATACATATCTATCAACAAGTGAATCTAAAAATCAAGTGAATAAATAATTTGATGAACAGAATAAACTGGTGAATATAATAGAATCAGGGGCATAGAAAAGGAGTGGACTGACAATTCTTGGGTGGAAAGGGGTGTGGGGGTGCAGGAAGGGAATGGATAAAAATCTTACACCTATGGATGAGGACAGTGGGGGTGGTGGTAAGGGCAGTGGGTGGGGTGGGAACTGGGTGGGAGGGAGCTATAGGGGGAAAAAAAAGGAACAACTGTAATAATATGAAGAATAAAGATTTAAAAACAAACAAACAAAAAACAAAGAAACTAAAAAATAAAAAAATGTTCATCACAACATGAATTTTAGTAATTTAAATCGCCATAATGTTCAACAATAAGTTATTTAAATTATGATATGTGCATATGATACAAACATTAAAGTTTATGTCATGGAATCATTTTTTCCCCATGGGGAGTGTTTAAGGTATAGTAAGTAAAAAATTTATATTATAAAACATATAAAATGTAATCACATTTTGAAGATGAAAAACAAATACACAAACAGAAAAAGATTGGAATGACATAGGCTTAATGGTGTAATTACGGATGATTTTTTTCTTTTTAGTTACATTATTTCTAGTTTGTTAGAACTAAAAATTAAAAATAAACATTATCCATAACTCAGTAACCTTAATATAGCAATTTCTTTTAATATATGTCTTAGCACTTGTCCATGTACATTTCTATGCTAAAATTTATTATAATAATAAACATTTTAATTAGCTAAATCTAAGATAAAGTTATATTTCTATTAGCTTAAATCTTAGTTTAAGATAGCTGACAAATAAATGTCTTACTGAATCCATGCTTCCAGATTTATCGAGTACTAAACAGACTACTCGGTGTTTGGACTTGAGCAAAGAAAATGTAGGATGAGGTGGTGGATTCGTTCCTGTCATGGGAAGTACATTCTGAAAATCTTCAGATTTGCTGATTATAGCCCATGTGCTTTTGTGATCGCACATTTTGTTTTGTAGGTTTGGAGCTTCTGCATTGTGTGTTTTTGCTGTACAAAATTCAGTCACCTGGAAAAAACCAATTAGAAGATGATATTACAGTAACTGGTGAGGCAATACATTCCTTTCCCATGATGCAGTTGGCTGCCATATATGTATTCTATAGAGTTTATCTCCCGACAATTAAAAGTAATTTTATGATCTAACATTCTGACATTAATTTCGCGTACCTGAGGGGAGAGGATGCAAAGTAAAACCATTATATGCACTGGAAAATTTTTTGGTCATTCTTTAAGGTATAGGTCATTCTTTAAGTGCAGTGTGGTATGGTGGTGGCTGGTACAACTGCTTAAGTTAACTTTTTACTTTCCCTTCTAGACTCTTGGTGGGACTCAAGCCTTGAATTCAATTTAGTGGAAGAAGGAACAGGGTTTGCAGTAATTTCTAGCTGCACCCTAAAAGTGGGATAACAATAGCATTCTTTAATTGCTTAAATATTTTCTATCTCTTTATAGTTGATCATGAGACTTGAGAACAGATACTCTAACAAAAGGGTTTGTTATTGTCTCTGGTGAATGCTGACATGAATAAAATAATCTATAATAATAAAAGCATAATATGCTAATTAGACCAGACGTCCTTCTGGACTAAGCTGGGGTTGCAGCCACGCGATCGAGGCAGCCACCAGCAGCTGTGAGGGAGGATCCAGGCAGCTGCCCGAGGCTGCAAAGGCCCACTCTTGCATGAATTTCGTGCATTGGGCCTCTAGTACTCCTATAAAAGTAATGAAAATGTAGGAAAAAAATGAGGAAATACAGTTGTTTCTCTTTCATTTTCTAATGGTGAGTTTTATCTAGTAATTGTGCCAAATATCTCATTACTATAGAATCTATGGAAATTCTACAAGTTTAAAAATCTTAGTAACTTGGAAAAATGCTCTCATAAACTAGCGCAGCATTGAGAAAGGAATTCACAGCTTACACGTAATACTTTTTAAAGTGTCATTCATTTTTTAAATGTCCTCCCAATATTAAGTCTTCAAAGGTAAGCTCACACTTAGAACTAAATTATTAAATTTGGATACCTTTTCTTTAAGTTTTAACAGTTTGTTTTCCTGCT